TATGTTTTCTAATGTATTATCTTCCTCTGAATAGATCACTTGAAATGGTCAGTCCTTCCCCTAGTTTCCTCAAAAAGCCCAACACTTCAACAAATGTTTTAAGGGAAAATGATATTATTATCAAGATTTGTTTTGTCCCAGAAACAAATAAGGGAACAAAAAGTACCCCTTGGTCACTGTTCTTACTGCTCACTGAAGCCTTAAATGATGGACATTTATATCACACCTCCTAATGATGCAAGAGAGGCCAAAGTGACCCTTGGAAGAACAGGAAGGTTGTGGTAAGAAGACAGGTGGTAATCCCAAATTAGAAATCAGGTCTTAAAGGAGCCAGAGGCAAGGTGACCACTCAGGAGAGCACCTTCTGTCATAACTGTGGAAAGGTGAATTATTAGGCCAGTTATATTTTTTATATTGAATCCTTCCTTTATGGAGTATTGTGTACCCATGAAAACTAGATAAAGGCCAAGCAATAAAATGGCAAATAACATGTAAGAGACAATGTTAAGAAAAAAGGATACAGATAATAGTATACAATTTCTGATGGTAGTACAGAAAACTAGCTTTAAAAAGCAAGCAACAAAACACCTTATGGGAGTGAACTAAAGTTTTGACAGTTGTAACAAGGTGATGATTTATCAGAATCCTGCACATTTTAGTGTTATTATATTCCTTTAAGATGAAAAAAAAAARRARRRRAAAAWWRRAAAAAAGAATGAAAAGAAGAAAACAAAGAAAGAAAGAAAAATCTTGAAGGTATTATATATGTATGTGTGTACGTATGTGAATGTGTCCCTAGCAGCTGGCTTCTGAAAGAAATGAGCTAGTGCAGAAGCCACGCCCTAGGTTACAGGGGGCTGTGGTCGCCTGGGGTCTGACTCAGCAACTTGGAGACTGGAGGGAACTTGAGTCTGGGGCCCCTGGCGGTTCGATCTTGCTAGGGCTTTTATTTTCCTAACATCCTAGGAATGTTAGGATGCGAAGCAATATTGAGAGCCTGCGGGCAGGCCGCACTTGGTGAGCCCAGCCCCAGACTATGCTGTCCCTATGCGACCCTCCTTGCRAAAGTTTTTTTTTTTTTTTTTTTTAGGGAAGGGAGGAGCCACAAGGGGCTGGAAACCGGGCAGGCTTGAGCGCTGGGCCCCGCGACCTCGCCCTCCCCAGCCCTTCCGACTGCCGACCCCACGTCCCGTACCTCTTGCAAGGGATCAGCGCCTTCCTCTCGTCCAGCACCCTGACGCGCTGGTTGAGCCCATCGTAGGACAGCAGGGCACGACTGTTGCGCCCACTGCTCTGTTGATAAAGAACCTGGCGTCCCTCCCACTGCTGCGGCGCCTGGCACGGGTGCGGCGACCCCGGGGAGCCCGCTGTCCCCAGGCCGCACAGGCCGCCCAGCGCCCAAACCCAGAGGCCACCCAGCAGCCAGGCGCCCAGGGGGCTGGCCGCGCGGAGAGGAACGCGTCCTGACATCGCTGTCTGCCGCCCCCCGGGAGTAAGCCCGAACCCAGGGGCCGCTGAGGGCTCCAGGCGCAGAGTGGTTTCCAAGGGTTCTCTGGGCACTGGGCCCGCCGAGGTGCTTCCTGCCCTAGCTGTGGCCTTTATCAGCTGTTGAGATCAGGAGCTAGACTTTGGGCCTGGGAAGGCTTGGGTGAATCGCGCGGGAGCTATTTCTGCCTTGGCCACTGCCTACTGCAGCTTCTGTTTTCACTGCTCACTGCTGCCAACAGGAAATGCAGAGGCAGCGGTGCCACTAGCACCCTGAAGGGCATCGCAATTTAAAGGGGTTGGGGAGGAGAATGAGACTTGACTGGGAAGGAATATGCTTCTCCACTAGCTGCAGTGTTTAACAAGTAATCACACACTGGGGGCAATTTCAAGGTCAAATGGGAGAGTAGAACTGCTGCATTTGCTGTTCTCTGATTTATCATGCCTCTTGGCAAATTGTAACCTTTCCTCTACAAATTAAAAGTGAAAAGACAGGTCCCTTCCTGAAGAAATGATACCAGTTTACTCATTAGGGCCACTTCCCAGCCTCCACTCCCAGGCCCTCATTAGTAAAGCCTTGGGCTCAAGGACTTTACCTCAAGGTCACATTTGCACTGAGACTGATCCCCTCAAGAACAAAGTTCATTAGGGTTATGTTTAAGCACTGTTAGGATCTGTCATATGACATCAAGAAAAAAAAAGAAAAAGAAAAAGAAACTAAGAAATAACCCTTACTTTCCAAGTTTATACCTTCTTCTCATTTGATATCAAGGATGAGGAAGAGTGAGCCAAGTGAGAGTGGGAGAGAACATTCCTGAATGAAGGACACAGAAGCAAGTGAAAATTGGTATAGCATTGAGTTTCAAGCACTAAACTGAAGGACAATCTGGAGCCAGATCACTGAGGGCCTTAAAAATTATTTTAAGAATTTTGTTAGTAATAATTGGGGGAACTTGGGAGCCTTTAATTCATTTAAAGCTAGAGGGGCATCATCTGGTATGTTCCTTAGAAAGCTCATTCAGATGTCAGTGTTGTGAAGAATGAGTAGGGTCACAGAAAATGCAGGAGGACCAAGCAGGAAACTCTTATTATTCAGGCAAGAGATCTTAGCTGAGCTAACATGGTGGTCGTGGGAATGGAAAGGGTGAAATGGTATTGGGAATTATAGAGAAAAAATTAGATTAAAAGGAAGAGCTTTCTGGCTTGAGTCACTGGGAGTTTAGCTCTGCGCAGGGAGAGAAGATAAATTTCAGTTAGATCTTCTCCCCCCCCCCCATACCAGGGGACATTTGGCAAGGAATTCTCCAGCCCCAGATATCAAAAGTGCCCAAACTGGCAACCCCTGGAGCAGAGGGGAGTGTTGAGAATGAGAAGAGAACTGAGGATGAAATCCTAGAGAACTCCAGCCACTTAGAGGATGAGCAGAAAATCAGGCACTTCGGGATCCTGAAATGGAATCACCTGGAGAGAAGCCATGGTCTAGGGGAACTTTCTCAGCTTAGGAATATTGGATTGAGTGCTGAAATACGGATTCTAGAATCACAGGCTCCTTGGGGGGACATGATGAGGAAAGGAAGTTGACCAGTTCTCCTGATGAATCCCTCCTCTGCTGTAGAAACATAAGAGACAGAGTTTGATGGGCTGATGGGATAAGCAAAGAACTTTATGAAAAGGGACTTTTCACCTCTACTCACCTTTTCTTAAAGGACATGAATTCCAAGAACATCAAGGAAACCCATGAAATGTTGGGACATGGTCCTTATATATTTTAGAAAAACAGCAAGTTCAAACTCACTGCAGAAGTTCGAGCCCTCTTCATGTTCCCCCTCCTCAAACAACTGATAGGAAAATGGTAGGTCATTCTGCTCTTTCTCTTGCTCCTCCAGTAGAAACTGAAGCTATTTTTTTTTTCACTCAGGGAGTGGTTTAGATTCAGAATTTCACTGCTGGAAATGGCTTGAAATATTATGTAGTTATCTCTTTTGCTTTATGTTTTACTGGTCTAGTTTGGCATCTTTGGAGCTTGAGATCTAGCTACATGTCAAGGTTGGCTTTGCTGTTTTAGGACACCCTGACCTGTACCTAAAAAGACTAAATAGGACTTGACTCCTCTGGTGAATATTGAAATGTATCTGTCTCATTTATCCTTTTAACTTACCATGTTTAATTCATGTTCCTAGAGAAATAAGAAAATGAATTTAAAGCTTTTACTTCACATTGGGCCCACTATAGAGGCCCAATAAATGTCAGTTGTTACTTGTTTAGTCAGCAATTTTAATCCTCAGTCTTGGTCAGGGTCAAAACTAAACTAACTTTGTGGGTCTAAGATTAGGAAAGAAAACAAAAATAACTGCCTTAAATTTAGATTTCAAATTAAATTACGTTTTTAAAGATTAAAGAGAGAGCCCGCGCCACTCCTAGAGCTGCCAGAACATGTTTCCATTTTACTAAGGCTATAGGAAAACATATTCTAGAGGCTGTACTGCCTAAAAACTGATGTACACTCACAACAATAAAGCCTCCCTTTCCTGTGAGTAATGGGGCCAGTAGTTGGTTTTGCTGCCTCTTCCTAATCAAGTAAGAGAAAAGAGAAAATAAAGCAGACCTACTTGCTTCCCAGAGAAACAGCTTCTTATTGAACTCAAGTAACAGTCTTGAAGTACATCAAAGATCAAGATTTTAGGCTGCTGGAATGGAAAGGGGGGAAAAATCAGATTGTGGCGTCCAGAAGTTTCTTTGTTTTCTCCCGGATTCCATTCATGCTCGAAAGGGGACTAACCATTTAGAAGAAGGAAGAGGGAATGTTGATGGTGACTAGACATTTCTCAAACTAGAAGATGCTCTTATACTTCTGGGCAGTCTTGTTTATTTCCTGGAGAAGGCACAAGCCAAGTACTCCCCTGGGAAAACTTGAGCTAGAGATAATGTCCAGTAGCCACAATAACAACAATAATAACAACAACAACAACAAACTTCACACAGCTAGGAAGGACTGGGGTGGGGTGGTTTATATAAAGTGTGCACATCCTGTTTCCACATTTACTGTACCATCCCTTGGTCAGACACCACTCACTACTCAGCGCTTCTCATGCCCCCTGCTGGAGAAAGCAAATGCGCTTCAGAATTTAAAGGTAACCAAGCTTCCCATTTCCCTCCAACTCCTATCAGTCCGGAAAACCGTAAGGCAGAAGGAGCAAAGAGCCTTTTCTTTCTCTTGAATTTCTCTCCTGTAGCCTCCTCTATGCGGTGTCCAAAAGGACTGCCAGATGCTCTTGATTCGAAGGAAAAGGATTAGGCCAGACTGAAAATGAGGGACTTTGAAGCAAATGCAGGATTCCAGCCCTTGGCTTCAGCCTGGGGAGGTGATGTCACCGCTTCTGCTCGGAGGGGACGGGGGTGGGGCTGCAGAGAGAGAGAGAGCCGGCGCCGCTCCTCCAGCTGCCAAGGGAGCGTTCTGAGCCCACGTCAGGGGAGGTGTCGAGATAAATAGGGTGCCGAAATGGCCGTGGCTGGCTGCGCTGGGAGCTGTGGGGTCCGGGACTGGAGCAGCCTGAGCGAGTTTGTGTCTTGGAGGCTGAGCGCTGGCTCTGCTGGTGCTTTTTTAGCTGGACGGCGGAGATTCGCAGCCAGACCCCAGAGCCGCCTGTTGCTGCTGACTGGAGTTTGGGGAGGAAAACTCTCAGTAACCCGAAGGATTTCCTCTTCGGAGAAGCAACAACGAAAGACTAGCAGGAAGAAAAGGGCACTTTCTGCCTATCTGGATCGCAGTGCAGGAGGGCAGTGCCATGCTCCTCTCCATCCTCGTGGCGTTGTGCCTGTGGCTGCGCCTGGCGCTCGGCGTGCGCGGCGCGCCCTGCGAGGCGGTGCGCATCCCCATGTGCAGGCACATGCCCTGGAACATCACGCGGATGCCCAACCACCTGCACCACAGCACGCAGGAGAATGCCATCCTGGCCATCGAGCAATACGAGGAGCTGGTGGATGTGAACTGCAGCGCCGTGCTGCGCTTCTTCCTCTGTGCCATGTATGCGCCCATCTGCACCCTGGAGTTCCTGCATGACCCTATCAAGCCGTGCAAGTCCGTGTGCCAGCGCGCGCGCGACGACTGTGAACCCCTCATGAAGATGTATAACCACAGCTGGCCCGAGAGCCTGGCTTGCGACGAGTTACCAGTCTATGACCGTGGGGTGTGCATCTCGCCAGAGGCCATAGTCACCGACCTCCCAGATGGTGAGGCACTGGGAAAGATGGAGGGAGGCCAGGAAGTGCCTGGGGCGTCACTGCCACTTGAGAACTAGGCGGACCATATCTACAGCTGCCAGGGGGTGTTCAACATAGCACCCTCCTTTGCAGCACCAGCCTCACTTCCCAGGCTTGGAAGAGGTGGGAAGGAATGGCAGAAGACTTAACAAGAATTTCGCGAGACTGGCAAAGAGCAATTGGACCTCCATGAAGGGAGGGCGAGGGGAAGATTTTGCTTACAAGGGAAACATTGGCAATGTTTTTATTTACAGTAATAGCAGAAATAATAATAGTAGTAAACAGATATTTCTGAGAGTGTGAGTCAGTGTTAAACACAGTGCCTGTAGCTAGTTTAATGCTTTTACAAGTCCCATTGGGCATTTGGTGCTACTTTTTTAAACTTCTTTCTGAAAGAGCAATAATGGTCTTTACTCCCCACCAGGAGTAGGGTTTGTAATGTAGGCTGTTCCTTGCCAAATACTGACCTTTGTTTCATATTAAAAATGCTACCTAGTGTGGCATCAATTTAGTTAATCCCTTTTCAGCTTCTTTTCTCAATTTGCTGATTGCTTGCTGCTTTTCTTTCTTTCTTTTTTTATTTTTATTTTTGGAAGGAGAAGGTCTAAATTCACTTCTTAAAAGGAAACCTAAGAATAACTTTGCCTTCTTGTATCCAGGCTTCCCCTAAGCTAGGTTACACCACATTAAAAGAGATTATGGTGTCACTTTAGAGTCACCTCTGAAGTTACACTTTAGTGGATTGCTTTGAACACAAAGTAGGCATGGTTAAGTGGAGGGATAAATTAGAAGTCCTCTCTAACTCAGAGTTTTAGAGAAAACACTTGTATTGTTTGCATCATTTTAGTGATGCTTGATTTTGGTTGTGCAACTCTGCACTGTTGCTGCACTGCAAAATGTGAGGTGAGGATTTGAAAATGTTCTGATTATTTTGATTAAAGTGTTAGCTTGGAAAATAAATGTCTTACTATCACTTTCAGAGGAAGAGAACTCATTTTTTTTCCTGGTTGGTTACATAGGTGTTCATTCACATCTATTTGTGTGTGGATAGGCAAAGTCTCACCTGAGAGAGTTCTTACCTAAGCCTGGGGATGTCATTAGTGAGAAGTAGCTGACACCTGCCATTTTTATTACTAGTAGTAATCTTTTGCAATACTGTATTAGTTTGTCTTTTCAAATCCTCTCGTATTCCAGTAGGGGGAATACACTCAGTCACTGACCACCTATCATGGCCCTGTTTATGTTTCAGACGTGAAGTGGATAGACATCACACCAGACATGATGGTGCAGGAACGGCCCCTTGATGTGGACTGTAAACGCCTAAGCCCTGGTAAGTTCTTTCCCCATTGGCTCCCTCTCCTTCTCAGAGTGATTTCTGTATCCCTTCTCCCACTTTTTAAAGTTCTCTCTTTTGCCTTTTTTAGATCGGTGCAAGTGCAAAAAGGTGAAGCCAACTTTGGCAACATATCTGAGCAAAAACTACAGCTATGGTAAGTCATCTGCTAAAGCCAGTTACTTTTGAGACTTGGCAAACTACAAAATTGAAAAGGCCTGATCTGCTAGTCACAAAGTAAAAAGAGGCGGCTTGATGATTTTTCTAGATGATTATGTCGATTCTGAACAGCAAGATAATTGTTGTAAAACCTCTTGCCTTTCTGGGTAGATCAAAACAAACAAAATAAATTACCCAGGTGAGAACATTGTTTAAATCATACATTGATCTTGGTGAGAAATGCTGCTCAGCAAATGACCTGTTCCCTTATTCTCATCCTAAGATTTTATTGCTACAGGAAGGATGGAGATGTGGTCCATGGATTTGACTGAGGCCCAGAAAATTGAGATCCAGAGGCAAGAGAATTAAGACCAGCCCATCTATCTTTTTACTTATAGTTACCAATATTTAAAATCTTAAAAAAAATTGTGGTGAAATATGTTGTTGAATATTATTAGACGAAACTCTATGACTACAGCATTGAAATACTTTAAATGCCCTCCTCTTTTTTATTTGAAAGTACCATTCAGCAGTCTCTTCAAAGAAAAAAAAGTCAGTCATGATATTTTAAGTGTTTCAAGTAACTAACTCTACTAGCATAATTGGAAAGTAAATTTAACTAAAAACATTTTTTTTTCAAAATGCCTACTTGGGCTATTTTATACTTTATTGCATATCTTAAGTTATTTTTACTGAAGTAACAGGAAACTAAGGAAAGATATTCAAGTCACTCCCTAATTTAGTTTTCATATTTCAAATTTAAATTTTATAGCAAGCTTAGATTATATAGCATTCACAAAGGTAGGAAAATCATGACTGTTTTAGAAAGCTGAAAAAATAATCATAACTTTAGATATCAGATTTGAGAATCATACATAACCAACATGGATAATTCAACATTCATACACAACAACAACAAAAAATACATTATTTTTTTCCAGTAGACTTTTTTCTTGAAAACTGTTGTGTGTAGATGTTGTCTTACTCCGACCTACTTAGTCCCTCATCTGCCAAAATCCAGGTGCTAATCAGTTTCTCTGCCAAGCTGTTCTCTGGGGTGTCACAGCCTTGGAACCACCTTGATGATGGAACATTTTCTTTTCAACTACTTTTGGCTCCATCTAAGCCAGCTTTCTAGGAAGGAATCCAAGAATGACCCATATTAGGTTGATTACAACTCCATAGGAGGCAGTGATAATAGTAAGGAACCAAAGAAGTCAGAATTTAAAACTTGATCAAAGACAGTGACATTAGCAGCCATCTGTAATAACAGTTCTATCTCTGCTCACCCTGGGCCTTACTTTGTCSATCTGTGAAATTAAAGGATGGAGAACCACAGTCCTCAGAGATTCCTTGCAGTTGTTATGACTCTAATAAATTCTCTCTGTAAAACAGAAGAAGTTGAAGCATCAGATGGGTGATGGAAGGAATACAGACTTTAAAAGTGACTTCGGAGCCTGAGAATGTATGATACTCACTTCAAATCATCACAGGGGAATAAAAACACATAAATATGTTTCTGTGAAATTTTTTGCTGACCTAAGGCAGAACCCAAACTAAAGACTGCCTTTGGCTTGCTTTTCCATCTGGCAGCATGATTCAGAACTTTGTAGACAATGTTGGCAGCATGGGATGCCTTGCATTTAGCATATGGGCTTTTGCCTGCATCAGGGCTGCTTGGACATGACCATAATTATAGGAGTGATTATTTAAGAGAGGCTCAGGATTTGGCATGAAGGCTCCATCCCTAGTTTTAACCCAAGGCTTCAATGACTCTTTTTCAATTTTTAAATTTTAGTTATTCATGCCAAAATAAAAGCYGTGCAGAGGAGTGGCTGCAACGAAGTAACAACAGTGGTGGACGTAAAAGAGATCTTCAAGTCCTTGTCACCCATCCCTCGAACACAAGTCCCGCTCATTACAAATTCCTCCTGCCAGTGTCCACACATCCTGCCCCACCAAGATGTTCTTATCATGTGTTACGAGTGGCGCTCAAGGTAAGCTCAACAGCTGAAGAATATGCACACTGCGCACAGACATATGAAATGCATTTAGCAGTTGTGGCTTTAAAAACAACAACAGGACAGCACTAGTAGTTCTGAAAAAGTAGTTTTGAACAGATGAAGGGTTTTTTTTTACCCCATTTCATTTCATTTCTTTCCTGGCATTTTATATATTTATGTGTGTGTGTGTGTCAAATTAAATCCTTAGAAAATGAAAGAAAGTAGAAATGTATTTAAATAAAATTTTGGAAAATCAATTTCAGAATTCATTAAGTGATTTCAAAATCATATAAGTAATTTAATTACTTTGAGGAAGAACAGTTATTCTCTAAACCATTCAATCTTAGCATAAAAAATACTGATTTTGGTTTATTTAATAACTTAAAAGTCAACTCTGGGACTATGGCTTCATAAATTTTTTTTGTACACTTCACAGTGTTTGTTTTATAGAATATTGAATATATATGCACAGATTTTTAAAGGACTCTTTTTTTTCTGGATACTGGGGATTTAATCTAGGAGTAATTTGCCACTGAGCTACATCCTCAGTACTTTTTTAGTTTTATTTTGAGACAAGGTCTCACTAAGTTGCTTAGGGCCTTGCTAAATTGATGAGGCTGGCCTCAAATTTGTGATCYTCCTGTCTCAGCCTCCTGACTTTCTGGGATTACACACATGCTCCCATGCTCCACTGCACTCAAGTTTTTAAGGTGACTTCTGAATCTAGGAATACATGATTGCCAACTCAAGTCATCAYAAGGCAAAGTATAAGTAAATAAATGTTACAGCCCAGTTTCTAAGGTGTGTCCCATAATATCCTGCAAATACTTTCTAGCAAAATCACTTATTTGTATATAATAAGCAATCCCTTTGATTCTCTACCATCCATGATTCTCTGTTTCTTCTTGGTGTAGCCCAAGATTCCATTCCTCCAAACAGGAAATAAACATTTCCTTCAAAACTGAGTTCACTTGAATGATTTCTCATTCCATATTCTATCAATACCAGTGTACCTCCTCATTCGCTGCCTTACATTCTTGGCTTTCAGGCCGTCCTTCCACTTACATGTTGTCTCTGATAGGAAGTCAGCTGTGTTTCTGGGTTTGTGTCTGTTTGCACCTACTATTGCTAGATGCTAGTCATTAAATTCTATTTGAACAGACAAAGGGGTTTATTACCCCATTTCATTCCAAATTTTTTGGATGGTTGGGATGTATGCCTTCACAAATGGTATTCATGATCATTTGGAAAAAGAATYTGGTAAGGGCATGTAAAGGGGATTTTGGAAATAAAAGTGATGAGAGGAGATCTGTCTTAAAAACTTACAAAACTAGTATAAAGCTACACTTGTTGAAACCATGTGGTTGCTAGAGTAGATGTATAGATAAATTTWAAAAAAATCTCAAGAGATTTCAAGGCATAAAATGACTTTTTATTATGAAAGAAATGTGGTAAATTGGTAGGAAACGAATGTTATTTAGTAAATGCTGCAAATAAGCTTATTTGCAAAATTAGTGTTTTTCACTTTATACTGTACTATAAATTTCAAATAGACTCAATTGATAAATATTTCACAAACTTAATCAAAGATGATGAAATTAGGTGATTAAATATGTGAGATCTGAAAGGCAAGAACTTTGTAAACAAAAAAGTAATATAAGAAATTGCAGGGAAAAATATCAATGCACATAATGGACTACATAACACTGTATACTCAAAATAACAAAAATAGACTGGTAAAAGTTGAGAAAAATTCTTGAGGAGGATATGACAAGTTTTGTGACCTTGCTTTATAAAAAGTTCACACAACATTTAAAATGTTGAGAACACAATATAGAAATATGCATACATAAATCCATGCAGCCAAGACCTTGAAGAAATGCAAATAGTAAATAAAGTTTGGGGTGGGATGTTTTCTCTCCCATGTGGAAGCTAGAGARAAAAAGGGAATTAAAAAGGGGGCTCATGAAAATRGAAGAGAGAACAACAGAATACAGGAAGAGGATGGAAGGGGTGGGAGGAGGGGAGGAAAAGGAAAAGTACTAAGGARTGAAACTGAGAAAATTATGTTAATTGCATGGACAACATGTCACAGTGAATCAACTATCATGTATAATTATAATGCATTGATAAAAAATACCTTTTTTAAAAAAATAGTTTTTCCTARCTGTCAATGGATCTTTATTTTATTTATATGTGATGCTGAGAATCAAACCCAATGCCTCACACATGCTAGGCAAGTGCTCTACCACTGAGCCATAACTCCAGCAAATGCATTTTTACCTAATTCTTAATGTTAGTGAGTTGGATGGAAGTACAACCATTTTGAAAACAGTTTGGTACAATGTATGTAAATCTTAAAAAAAAATCAAAATCCTTTGATCTAGTTATTCTACTTTCAGAAATCTGTCTTAAGGAAATAATAATCCAGAGCACACTACTATATATAAGGATATTCAACACAATCCTGGTAATAATAGCTAAACAAAAGGAAGAATTCAATAGTAAAGAAATGGCTAAATGAATAACCAAAGTTGTAATATTATATTATTTAAAATTAATCTTTGAATTTTCCTAATTATATCAGAAAATGAATATAATGATGAAAGGAAATATACAGTAGTTTATGAAATACAATGTGCTCTAAAATACATATACATATGTATATATGTGTACATATATATTCTGTGTGTGTATTTGAAAAGAATGGATTATAGGGATAAGGTTATTGAAACGAATTTTAAATAATTTTTTGCATTTTTAAGCTTTTTACTTTTATAAAGTACTGAGATAAATTTCTTTCTTTCAGGATGATGCTTCTTGAAAATTGCTTAGTTGAAAAATGGAGAGATCAACTTAGTAAAAGATCCATAGTAAGTATAATTAGCAATACTCTGAATATGTATGCAAATGCATGTAATTAAAATCAATACAATTTGAGAATTCTTCACATTCTTTATGTCCAAGCTCTCATGGGAACTGGTAACAGTATCTGTCTTTTGAATAAGTAATTAAGTATAGGTATTAATACTTGGAATTTTTATCAGAAGTCTATCATTCAGCTTCAGAGTTGGTTTTTGTGTTCAATTATAATGTACTTTTATTTCTAAATTAAATTATTCTTTGGTTTTCTTATTGTATTACAATTTAATTGTTTTATCAAATAAGATATTGAGTAGAGTTAATACCTACTGGGATTAAAACCAACATTTAGGGATGCAAACATCTAGTTCAAAAATTTATACCATCACTATACTATACTATTTATACCATCACTAAGCAACTCAKTGAGACCCTGTCTCTAAATAATTATACATAGCAAAATCTTTCTCTATTTAAAATATTGTAAGGTTATTATAAAAAAAACACAGATAACCAAATCCATGATTTTAGTGGTAACACCATAGAGATACCAATAGTTCAGTTAAAGGAATAAGCATAGATTTTTTGCCTCAAGATGAGAAATTAGGTAATTGGTTTGAAACTTTCAAAGCATCCCCTCTCTTGAAGGTAAGCTTAGACATATTTAGGAGAATTCATGTTTTCCAATTCACAGAAGAGACAGCTCCTGCCCATATTCTTTTAATTTGAATGAATAAGAATTCTCAGGAAAGGCAAGAATATATATTAATTGACTTATGGAGAATGTAGTTACAACACAGCATCCCCTGCTCAGAACATGTCTGAATAAGAGCATGCTCAGTGCTACTAGAAAGAAATTGCTCTATTAACAGAATTGATTTCCTGATTTCCAAGACAACAGTAATCTAAAGACATCAATGGAAAAGGCAAGTTGGCCAAAGGACCTAATGTTGCTGACAGAGAGAGAATWAAAAAAAAAAAGTTCAAGAATCACAGTTTGGGTGGCAAGTATTCCAATATACTTCCCCATGTGAAAGCAACATGCAGTAATGAGTTTGGTATTCTAGAACATACTAGAATTATGCCCTAGGAAAGTAGGAAGACTATTTTCCTTTTTCATTACATTTCCAGTGCCTGCTCAAATTTTTGCTGAATGAAATATACTCTAACAAGAAAGGAACAGGAAAATATGTATTATAATATAAAGCAGTGTCTATTCAAGTGGATTGATTTTCAGTTGTCACTGTGTAGAAATGTTGCATTATAGGGTTGGTGGTCAAAACATATGGGTGCAGGTCTGGGGCCCTGGAGACAGTGGGTGAACTTGAATCCTGGTTTAAGTATTTACCAACTATATGGCCTTCTGCAGATAGTCTCTGTGTGCTTATTTTCTGTTCATGACAGTGTTGCCAACTTTGTAAGTTTCAAAGAAATGAACACATGTTGACTTCTCCATATATTGGGCACGTTCCAATTCACCTGGTATTTGACAAGTGTTTAACACTTAAATCCAGTGGCTATTATAATTGTCATTGTCATGATATTATGGTGAAACCTTTGCACTGACMAAAAAAAAAAAAAAAATTGCACTTGTAAATGCTAATACTAGTTTGACATCAAAAGAGGTGTGATTTTGGGCACAGTGCAGTSGCGCATGCCTTTAATCCCAGCAGCTCGGGAGGCTGAGGCAGGAGGATCTTGAGTTCAAAGCCAGGCTCAGCAAGAGTGAAGCGCTAAGCAACTCAGTGAGACCCTGTCTCTAAATAAAATACAAAATAGGCCTGGGGATGTGGCTCAGTAGTTAAGCGATCCTGAGTTCAATCCCCTGTACCAAAAAAAAAAAAAAAAAAAAAAGAGGTGCGATATATTTCACAGTCAACTTTGCAAATTTTGCCTCCCAGCAGTGGGAAGAGAGGCTGCAGGAACAGCAGAGAACACTTCAGGATAAGAAGCGAACTGCCGGACGCACCAGTCGTAGTAATCCACCAAAACCAAAGGGAAAACCACCTGCTCCCAAACCAGCCAGCCCTAAGAAGAATATTAAAGCTAGAAGTGCCCAGAAGAAAACAAACCCCAAAAGAGTGTGAGCTGACTGCTGTCCTAAATGGAGACTTCCTTACTGACGAGGCCAGGCCTTGCCTGGGACAGCCTGTGTAAGGCCACGTGCCCCTTGCCTTAACGACTCACTGCAGTGCTCTACATAGACACATCTTGCAGCATTTTTTTCTTCATGATAGGCTTCAATTTCTATTTCTAAGGCACCACAAGCCATACTGATAGGTTTGCCCTTTGGTATGGAAGGTGTAATAAATAAAGTTGGTTGAAAGCGTTTTGCATTCAGAGTAGTCTGTGTGCATATTCTATGTGATTTCCATGTGGAGGAAATATGCTTTTGTTCTTAGAATCTGACCTAATATGAGTGTTGTAAAACTAATGCCGTATTTCAAGCGAAGTGCTGATTTTTTGGACAAAATATTTGGTTTCTGCTAAAATGTTAACAATATTTGAAAATGTGATGGAAAACATAATGCTTCTGAGGAAAGCAAGAGAAATGGATGTTTAAAAAATCTTTATGTGTTTAATGTCTGCACAAAGATTTTTGTGATGAAGGCGGATTTTTGAAATATCTAGAGAAGGAAGACATGGAAAATGGTAATGTGTATTTGTAAGACTTCCAGCTCTGTTTTTTAGGTAAAAGCTCTTTAAAAAATCTAAAGTAATAACAAACAAATAAATAAAAAGGAGAGGCAGAGAGACAATGCCTGGATTCTTGTTTTTACCTGCTGTGTTGAAGATGCTCTGATCGCAGAGTCATGATGCTTCTTGTCAGTACCCTCCAAGCAGCACCAGAAACAGTGGGTTGGTTTGTTCCGTTACGATTTAGGTCCCAATGAGTGGGTCAATCCTCAAATATTTTACACCCACCAGAGGTGTAATGCTCATCCCCCTTCCCAATATATCCATGGATCATGATTGCCAAACCAGGGAAAATGTTCTCCCTGCAATTGCTGGTGCTCACTGCAGGGCCTGTGGGTTCTCAACCTGCTGATTCTCAGCCTGCTATGGCATGGCCACCACAGTTCTGTGTTTGGGGAAGAGGACAGAGGCCACTCGCCCACTTGTTCCACTACGTATGGAACTAGTGGAAAAATCTGAAATCTTAAGACTGATTTCTCCTTTAGATTGGCCATGGTCCTTACTTCTCAGGAGATGGGTAAGTTAAATGAGTTTTTACAAGATCTTTAATGAGATGATTTAATCTCTGTACTCTGTGTGTTTGATTAACCCCTAAAGATTAACCAGGCCACTGTGTGTTTTTTATGAAAAGGTTGAACATAAGCATAGTCACTGAGGGTGACTTCACACTTCTAAGTACCCTTGACCTACATGATAGTACTTAATTATTCACCAGACCCATGCTTACTACAGAGTCAKTTCTGACCTCTGACCACTTGAAGGAATATCATCAGCTCTATTCATAATACGATTTCACTTTAATTTAACTATTCTACTATCCATACTTTTATTAATATATTAACAGTACATTGTTGATAATGAAGTATTTTCTGAGAAAGCATATTTCAAGGCTACACACATTGATTGTTCAAAATGGTCTATAGTAAGTGTATTGTTTAATGAACATGTGCTACTTTCTTTCTTTCTTTATTTTTGTATCAGAGATTGAACCCTGGAGCACTTAACCACTGAGCCGCATCCCCAGCCCATTTTTTATTTTATTTTGAGACAAGGTCTTGCTAAGTTGCCTAGGGCCTCACTAAATTGCAATCTTTCTATCTCAGCCTCAAGAGCCACTGGGATTACAGGAATGTACCACTGTGTCTGACCATGTGTTACTTTTATAATTACAGGATGCCTCAAAAATAAYATCAAAGATGCAGAATGTAGTATGGTTTAAAGTCACGCAGACACGCAAACCTGAAAACTATTATATTGATCATGTGTGTTAGTCTGGGTCCTGGGAGAAGCAGGTGCCAAAACAGAATTAAATGCAAAAGAATTCTAGTAGAGGAAATGCCTGAGGGAGAGAAAGGGAAGGGAACCAGATAGGGCTGGGAGCACAATGCATGGCCACCTTGACTAAATGAGATGGGAAACTTTGGGTGGAAACATTCCAGATTGCAGTCATCTCCAAGGACGGTTTGGCAAGGCTACTCTTGAACCAAAGTTACCCGTTAAGGAGTCCCTCATCTTCCAGGGACAGCTCTTCCTAGGCAGCCTCCTGTTATGTCATCACTGAGGGAACAAAATATAGTACTACAATCCTGGATTTCAGAATGCTGCGGTTGGACACTTGGGCTATGGCCCATGTGGATGGTCCTGTGATTCCGATTCTCATGATCATCACAATATGATAATCATAAAAATCTTAAAAGTTTACCACCATGTTTTCCATCATAATCTCTAAAGCAGTGGTGTCAACAAAATGTCCCTGTTGATGTCAGTAATTGACTTCTACACTATTTGAATCCTTAGATGTTAAAGATGCTTGTCTTGAAGCTTTTTAATGTATTTTTGGTTCGAGTTTATTGAAGAGTGAATAGGCTGATCAAAACTACAGAGCTCCCAGTACTTCTACCTAAGAGATTTCTCTTTCTACTAAAATGTAAGGAAATATGTTTAAGAGACAACTAATGGCAGTAACAAAGTCCATGAAATGTGCAGTTTTGCCTTTATAGGTCCAGGCAGCACAAGCATGAGCCTAATATCTTTAGTGGTGATATTTACACGAGAGAACAGTTTTACAACTAGATAATTCTAAAATACACTATAGTGACACRTAGATGAAAATTATTTTATAATGGTAATCTCAGGTCTCTTTGGTGATACACTTTGAAAAGAGAAAAGCTCATATTAGCAATTAAATTTAGCTAAAAGAAAAGCCTCAAACCCAGAGGCCCGATACCAAATCTTACAAAACCGTTAAGAACTTGGATAACATAACGAGGTGTAAAGAACTGAGGTTAAACAAGAAATGGAATTATTAATAAAATCCCATCGTGGTTCCAAAGGAAATGTAAAATACCATTGATGAATCAAACTGGTGGATTTTTAAAATTCATTAACATACTTAAGCTTCTAATAATTTTGAATATTTATTATGTCACTGAAGTATCTCAGCAGCTGAAAATTACATGGATGATTGCTGAGTCAATTTTCTGCCTTTACTAAAAGCATAATTTTTTTTTTTTTTTTTGGTGGTACTGGGTAGGGATTGAACCCAAGGCCTTGTGCAAGCTATAACCTCAGCCTCTAAAAGCATAAAAATCTGAACACATTTTCATTAAACAATACACTTCTAATGAATGAACAAGTTTAAACAGTTCAGGCAGGCATCAGTGTCAGCGAATCCAACCCAGTGGGCAGAAAAGGCACCAGGAGACCYAGCCTAAGTGCCTTCAAATTTAGGATAGTATGTTTTACAAATATGTCCATTTTATGCAGTTCCTTACAGGGAACTGGATCCAAGGAAGTCCAGAGTTAGGTTCCAACCAAGAATGCTTCAGGTATTCTGTCTTGGAAAGGGGTTGGAGAAACTGAAAGGGTAAAGTTTCTAAGCTGGAAAGCTTGAATGTAAAAGATTAGGTATTATTAAGTTCCTCTGTTACACCCAGATTCCTGAGATAGTTAAGACAACACCCTACTGGCCATTTAGCCTAGGGCCCTGTGCAGTTCCTCACAGGGCCCAAACCAATCAGTTTGAATGTGTAACCTGCTTACGAATGACCAATCACCCTYGCCCGCCAATGAATGTGCCAATCATGTCTCAGAGTTGTTGTTCAATTTCCCCGCGCCTCATGATGATTTGTTCTGATGTATGCAAAGCCTCCCCCTCCCCAAAAAGTGTACTTAAGCTCTGCTTGACCTTTGCTCTGGGCTCTGGGCTGCTCTCCCTTCTTGAGTAAGCACGGAGCCCCAGGGCGCTGGAATGGATCCCCAATAAATCCCCTTTTGCCAATTGCATGGAGTAAGTCTCTTGTGTGGTCTCTCCCTCCGACGCTCCGCCGGACCCCCCTTACAAAACTACAATTTTGGGGGATCTTAAATGTCTCTCAAGGGCCCATGTGTTTAAGGCCTGGTCCCTGGCCTCCAGTCCATGGTGTTACTGGGAAGTGGTGGAGTCATCAGGAGGTGGGGCCTACTGGAATAAACTTAGATTGTTGGGAATGTTCCTTCTAAGTGTGTGTTGGGATTCCCACCTGTTTGTTTGTTTATTTATTTATTTAAGCAGCTTGTTCTTCCATGTGCTCCCCATCATAATTTGCTCCCTTGCCACAAGCTTAAGCAATGGGGCCAATAGACCAAGGACTCATACCTCTGAAACCCTGAACCAAAATAAACCTTTTCTCTTTTAAAGTTGATTATCTCTAGTATTTTCTTATAGTAATAGAAATCTGACTAACCCAGGGATTTAGTACAGTCATCAAAGGGACTCTGGGTTCAGGATCAAGGCACATGGCTAAGCAAAGACTCAAGGATGGGGATCATTTTACCTAAAGGAATTTGTAAGATTCCAGGACCCAACTCTGTTTGGCAGTTGGGGATCGAGGTACTTCCTGCATAGGCACCCCCTTTCCTTTCTCAGTCTGTCCCTGCATTTGAATCCACTTCCGATCCTCACTCTCCTGTGTMCTTCCTCATGCTGACAAGTCTCAGTTCAAAGCTCCCACAGGTTCCCACCTATTCTGCAGTCCTCACTTCTTCAGCCACAATAACTTCTTTGTTGTATTTTCTGCCTAAAGACCAGCTAAAATTCAAGCCCAGGCTGCTGAGTGGTGGCTCTGAGAACTTTTCAGCCTTTTCTAACATTTTTCTCACAGGGGCATATTTATAGGTATTGCAAACAGAAGATATTTACAGGTAYTGCAAATCCCATCMCCATAGGTCKGCCTCACAGCACCGTATCCCACTCACTAACTTCAATCCCCTCAAGATTCAGAATAACACGAGTTTCGGCTGAATTGAACAAGTCTCTATTTGGGCATTATTGGATTTCTGATTATTCACCTCTATCCAAAAGAAGTGACCTTTCTCTGTCTTGTATATAAAATCTTCATTCTGAAGGAGTCACCCATGTACACAACTGAGTGYAGAGTGCCATCTGCTGGTGAAGTGTAATATTACTGTTATAGAAGTTTTCMAAGTTCTGCACCATGCTTGATGAAGTAACAGTGTGCCGCATAATGCAATCACCTGAGGATCATCCGGATATGAGCAGGCCATGTGAAACAGCAGATGACAGTACTCAATTTGAAGGAGGCAGAGAGGTGAAGAAAATTAAGAAGGTGGAGATGAGATTCCTTTTTTTTAAAGAGAGAGAAAGAGAATTTTTTTTTAATTTTTATTTTTTATTAGTTGCTGGAGACAATACAATGATCTTGACATATCATACATTTGATTCAAATGGGGTATGAATCCTCATTTTTCCACGTGTACAGATTGCAGGATCACATTGGTTATACAKCCAGGTATATACATACAGCAATACTAGTGTCTGTTGTATTCTGCTSCCCTCCCTATCCCCCGCTCCCCTCCCCTCCCCTACCATCACCTCTCTCTACCCAATCTACTGTGACACATTTCTCTCTCTAAGACAGAGAAATTTTAATATTTAATTTTAGTTTTCGGTGGACACAACATCTTTATTTTTTTATTTTTATGTGGTGCTGAGGATTGAACCCAGCGCCCCGTGCATGCCAGGCAAGCGTGCTACCGCTTGA